TCAACTGCCGACTGTCCCTTGACTGCTTGCAGAAGGCTCTACTTCCTGCTGCAAGCAACAGGAGTCAAGCAAGTAAATTAGTGAGGTTGTTGCTCAACGACCATTGCCTTTGACTACGTTTTATGGATAAATATAGTTTTCCATCATGCAATATTAAGATTCAAAAACACATTCAGTGGTATTACGCTGACATTCAGTCTTTGAGATAGTTTGTACCACTGTTTTTTGGAATGAGTATGTCCTGGATGACTGAGAATCTTCCCCAGCAGTGTATTCCAGGTCAAGTATAGGCACTTAGGACCCAAGTCTGAAAAATCTTTTGACCTTGACAGAATCAATGTCATTAAGAAGAAATTCTGCTTAGCGAGAAGTAAATTAGTGAGGCTGTTTCTCACCAGTGTCTGCCTTTTGAAACCTTTCAGGGTGTAGTGGCACAATAGAAAAAACAATAAACGACCCAGATTGAAAGGAAACGAGTCAAAATGCATTGATGGCCAAGCATGAAAAGACAATAGTGAGCAAAGAAAAGCAATGGAATCCACAAGCTGTCCCATTGCTTAAGAATACTGTCAACAGCTCTCTCAAAAGAATGAGCTGTTATTAATAAAAAGTGGGAAATTCTTTGATTACCTATGTACAAGACAAGCAAGACTATGCTGCAGCCATGTTGTAATGAAAATATTCCAGTGATTTGCTGTGTTTGGCAAATTGCAAACGGATGCTGCAAAATGTTTGCTTAAAATTTCCCATGTTGTATGTGGTCACTTGTCCACGCATGACACGCAATCTGTCGTCGAATGATGGGGCGTGGTCAGAGACCTATCAAGTCCTCGTTAGTATAGTGGTGAGTATCCCCGCCTGTCACGCGGGAGACCAGGGTTCGATTCCCTGACGGGGAGCTTGTCTTTTAGTTCCTATTTCAATGAACTATGTCTTGAGTACATCAAGTTCTTTTCCTGTTGTACACCAATCGTTCACTTAATAGGCACAAATTGAAAAACCTTGATTTGATGTTGCCCTTATCAGAGATCAGACCATCACTGCCTGTCACCTGCAAGTAGACCCTGTCTCAGATCTCTCTTATGGTGCAAACCCATTGAGCTGGTAAAACTGCTTCAAAAGAATGAACAACACTTAAACTCAAGCATTGTCTGGGAAATGAAATGAGATTCCCACTGGAAGCCAAAACCCCTACATCTCATCATAAGGACTGACTGCTTGTACATCCCATCCCAAAACCAAGTCTTGTGGTGGAGTTTGCCCCTGCCAGAACAAAACCACAAAACAGCTTGTTAATATGTGTTGCTTTTCTTTCACCAGCTGTTTTCTAATTTCTGTCGTCCTACCCTCTCATATAGCAAAGTAATGCATTTGAAGGGTTTCTTTTACATTAATCTCAAACTGCTCAGAATCGGGACTGAGATTATGACAAACAAGTAGAAGGAGCATGTTCAACTGCCGACTGTCCCTTGACTGCTTGCAGAAGGCTCTACTTCCTGCTGCAAGCAACAGGAGTCAAGCAAGTAAATTACAGGTGCTGGTCATAAAATTAGAATATCATGAAAAAGTAGATTAATTTCAGTAATTCCATTTAAAAAGTGAAACTTGTATATTATATTCATACATTACATACAAACTCATATATTTCAGATGTTTATTTTGTTTAATTTTGATGATTACAAATGACAACAAATGAAAATCTCAAATTCATCATATCAGAAAATTAGAATATTGTGAAAAGGTTCAAAATTGATGGCCCCTGGTGCCACACTCTAATCAGCTAATTAACTCAAACCACCTGCAAAAGCCTTTAAATGGTCTTTCAGTCTAGTTCTATAGGCTACACAATTATGGGGAAGACTGCTGACTTGACAGTTGTCCAAAAGACGACCATCGACACCTTGCACAAGGAGGGCAAGACACAAAAGGTCATCGCTAAAGAGGCTGGCTGTTCACAGAGCTCAGTGTCCAAGCACATTAATAGAGAGGCGAAGGGAAGGAAAAGATGTGGTCGAAAAAAGTGTACAAGCAAGAGAGATAACCGCACCCTGGAGAGGATTGTGAAACAAAACCCATTCAAAAATGTGGGGGAGATTCACAAAGAGTGGACTGCAGCTGGAGTGAGTGCTTCAAGAACCACCACACACAGACGTATGAAAGACATGGGTTTCTGCTGTCGCATTCCTTGTGTCAAGCCACTCTTGAACCACAGACAGCGTCAGAAGCGTCTTGCCTGGGCTAAAGAGAAACAGGACTGGACTGCTGGTGAGTGGTCCAATGTCATGTTCTCTGATGAAAGTAAATTTTGCATTTCCTTTGGAAATCAAGGTCCCAGAGTCTGGAGGAAAAGAAGAGAGGCACTTCATCCACGTTGCTTGAAGTCCAGTGTAAAGTTTCCACAGTCAGTGATGGTTTGGGGTGCCATGTCATCTGCTGGTGTTGGTCCATTGTGTTTTCTGAGGTCCAGGGTCAACGCAGCCACATACCAGGAAGTTTTAGAGCACTTCATGCTTCCTGCAGCTGACCAACTTTTTGGAGATGCAGATTTCATTTTCCAACAGGACTTGGCACCTGCACACAGTGCCAAAGCTACCAGTACCTGGTTGAAGGACCATGGTATCCCTGTTCTTAATTGGCCAGCAAACTCTCCTGACCTTAACCCCATAGAAAATCTATGGGGTATTGTGAAGAAGAAGATGCAATACACCAGACCCAACAATTCAGAAGAGCTAAAAGCCACTATTAGAGCAACCTGGGCTATCATAACACCTGAGCAGTGCCACAGACTGATCGACTCCATGCCATGCCGCATTGCTGCAGTAATACAGGCCAAAGGAGGCCCAACTAAATACTGAGTGCTGTACATGCTCATACTTTTCATGTTCATACTTTTCAGTTGGCCAACATTTCTATAAATCCTTTGTTTTTATTGGTCTTCAGTAATATTCTAATTTTCTGATATGATGAATTTGAGATTTTCATTTGTTGTCATTTGTAATCATCAAAATTAAACAAAATAAACATCTGAAATATATGAGTTTGTATGTAATGTATGAATATAATATACAAGTTTCACTTTTTAAATGGAATTACTGAAATCAATCTACTTTTTCATGATATTCTAATTTTATGACCAGCACCTGTAGTGAGGTTGTTGCTCAACGACCATTGCCTTTGACTACGTTTTATGGATAAATATAGTTTTCCATCATGCAATATTAAGATTCAAAAACACATTCAGTGGTATTACGCTGACATTCAGTCTTTGAGATAGTTTGTACCACTGTTTTTTGGAATGAGTATGTCCTGGATGACTGAGAATCTTCCCCAGCAGTGTATTCCAGGTCAAGTATAGGCACTTAGGACCCAAGTCTGAAATTCCTTTGACTTTGACAGAATCAATGTCATTAAGAAGAAATTCTGCTTAGCGAGAAGTAAATTAGTGAGGCTGTTTCTCACCAGTGTCTGCCTTTTGAAACCTTTCAGGGTGTAGTGGCACAATAGAAAAAACAATAAATGACCCAGATTGAAAGGAAACGAGTCAAAATGCATTGATGGCCAAGCATGAAAAGACAATAGTGAGCAAAGAAGAAGTTATGAGTATTACTATCTGTCATGCAGGAGACCAGGGTTCGATTCCCTGACAGGGAACTTCTCTGTTAGTTCCCATTACAATGAGCTATGTCTTGAGTACATCATGTTATTTTCCTGTTGTACACCAATCTTTCACTTAATTGGCACAAATTGAAAAACGTTGATTATCAGAGATCAGACCATCACTGCCTATCCCCTGCAAGCAGACCCTGTCTCAAATGTCTCATAGGGAGCAAACCAACTGGCTTAACTGCTTCAAAAGAATGAACAACACCTACTCAGGTTTAAAACAAACTAAATGATTGTTTTCTACTTAAAAACTCTTTAGATTTTAAAATGGAAACATTGTCCTTTGTTTTTTGAAATATATTTATTTAAAAAGTCAGTGTATGTATGCATTACCACCTCATTTTATTTCAATGTTCTGTATAAAGTAGCAGATTATTAAGAAAAATGTCTCCGGACCTTTACTGGTTGTTGATCTTCTTTATTTGGACCCCGCTGGTTTTTAATTGGTTACCCCTTTTTAATTGGTTTAATTGGTTAAACCCACTTGCTTGAAGTGGGTTTGTCGCACTAGCCCCTGCTGGCCCCCATCTAGAACCGCACATGTCTCACATAAAAAATAAAATTAAGAACTATAGTTTACAATGGAAGAACATTACGGTCACTGAAAAAAAAAAAAGAAGTTAACTGATTTTTATATTTTATTTCAGTATAGTATGAGAAAAAAAGTCAGGATTCTGAGATTAAAGTCAGAATTCTGAGAAGAAAAGTCAGAAATCTGAGATTAAAGTCAGAACTCTCAGTAGAAAGTAAGAATTCTGGGATTAAAGTCAGAATTCTGAGAAGAAAAGTCAGAATTTTGAGATTAAAGTCAGAATTCTCAGAAGAAAGTCAGAGTTCTGGGTTTAAAGTCAGAATTCTGAGAAGAAAAGTCAGAATTTTGAGATTAAAATCAGAATTCTGAGAAGAAAGTCAGAATTCTGAGAAGAAAGTCAGAATTCTGAGAAGAAAGTCAGAATTCTGAGAAGAAAGTCAGAATTCTGGGATTAAAGTCAGAATTCTGGGATTAAAGTCAGAATCCTGGGATTAAAGTCAGAATTCTGAGAAGAAAAGTCAGAATTCTGAGATTCAAATCAGAATTCTGAGATTAAAGTCAGAATTCTGAGAAGAAAAGTCAGAATTCTTTGATTAAAGACAGAATTCTGACTTTTTTCTCATGTCATATTGAAATAAAATTTAAAAATCAGTAAACTTTATTTTTTAGTGGTCCTAATCCTCTTCCGTACTTTAAAGTGTCCCTCTATGAACTTAATTTGCTTTAGGTGGAAATAATTAAGAATAACTATGGATAGGAACCTGGCGAATGTGGCATCTCAGGGCAGCCCTGCGTGGATGACGTCATCACGTCCGCAGCCTAGCAGCAGAAACGACGGGCGTAAACAAAGCGGACCTCCACAAGCTAAGTGGACAAAATGTTGCTTTCGGTGAAATAGTCACTGGAAATCATAGTTTTTTTCCCCCGTTTTTTTCTCACGTCTTTACGGAGTTAATCTCCCAGCCAGCGTCGGAAGGAGTCTCTGTTCGCAGAGACGCTAACAAATTAGCCTCCTGCTAGCTGGGTTAGCTTCGGTAAACCTTAGGTAACGGGATTTTTCTAGTTCTGGTGGAAACATTGTCACCTAAGTCAGTGTTTTATTTATATCCCTTGTGTGTTCCCCCAGTCATGTTGAATAACTCGGAATATGTTAAGGGCAATGACACGGTGAGTTAGCTCACAGTGATGCAGCGAGTGATTTAAAGAGCCGTTGATCTGGATAGCTAGATAGAGGATCTCCCTCCATCATTTCCTCCCGGATAGATGGCCACCTAAGGAACCGCCGCGATCTGGAGGTGGACTGAGATGTTCAGCTTGATGGCGAACTGCTGCAGCTGGCTAAAACGGTGGAGAGAGCCTGCCAGGTGAGCTGGAGCTCCAATCAGAGCAGCTCACTCACAGATTTCATCAACAGATCCACAATTTCTCACCTCTAATGCTGTTTATTCATGTTTGAACTTATGGAATACATTAGCTGATCACTTATCATGGATATACTGTCGGGGCAGAGTGAATGGATAGAAGGTTTATTTAGATTTGACTTGACAGATTTGTTGCTCAGGGGTAGAAACTTAAAGGCTGGGGCAGAGCTAGATGGGGGGCCAGGGGTGGCCATGGCCACCCTTAGCTAATCATTGGCCACCCCAACCATTTTTTTCCCTCTAATACAGATGGTGGCAACAGTTATACTCTCAACATTTTTTTCTTATATTAACAATTACTTGACAACAAAAACACAGTTGTTAATTATGCACATCAATATACTAATATTAAAGATGTTAAATACAGAATTCAAGCAGAAATAGATTTGGTGTTTTATGGGGTAAAGAGAGAAGTCACCTAGGAGTCTTCAGTGAAATCATAGATAAATAACTATTTTAATAAAAACGTATTAAATAATCCATTCATGTAGATATTAGTACGGTAGTTGTAAATATCAATTTTATGGAGAATGGTTAAGTAATGACAATGGAAAGCTGAAAGAATTTTATCCACTATACCTTTTATCTAGAACACACTGATTTTTGAATATATTCATCTATTTGTTAGCAAAGGCTGGAGGAAAATATAGTTTTTCTTTATTTAGAAAATATGGATGTTTTGCTTGTTAATTTTCCTGTTGGAACAGTGGAGATTGACCGTGAGGTTTTGGTGCCCATCTGCTTTCAGCCACCCCTCAGTGTACATTAGTTATTGCCTGGACACCCTTATAAAAATGTTCTGGCTACGCCTCTGCTTTGAAGCATGATGTATTTTTTTTTTTAAATCTTTTTTTGAAGAACCCTTTAAAACACTGACCATATCTAAAAATGATAAAATACAGCATGAAGTTATAAAATAAGACAATAATATGAGTTTGTTTAAGCTAAATACAGAAGGTCACGACAATTTGGTCCTGTCAGTGTGAAAAGCCAGCTAATAAAAGTTTTTAGGCTTGTTTTAAAATGTGGACATTGTCAGACCAGCATACCCCTAGTCAATACGCATGCGCAAGGCGTCACTATGCATTTATCCCTTTAGAGTTGTGTGAAAAATACATTTTAAACTACTTTCACGAAAAAACAACGTAAAAGGTCAGATTGTCATACTCTTCAAAAAACACAGAAAAGTCAGTGATTAAATAGTTTTTTTGTACATGACTAAAGGGATACAAGCCTGTTGAGGTAGTTTAAAGTGTATTTTTCGTGCAAAACTAAAGATGCATAGGCAGCCATTGAAGTGAGGCCAGGACAAAAGTGATATGATCATATTTTGGGGTTCCAGTTAAAAGACGAGCAGCCGTGTTTTGCACCAGCTGTAGGCGAGACGGCAAAGACTGACACACACCAGTATAGAGTCCATTACATTAATCCAATCGAGATAAAAAAAAAAAATGATAACTGTTTAAAAGGGTTGCCTTTAAATAACTGCTGACAACTCCTCCAATTTTCCTTCCCAATTTAAAATCACTGTCCACCTTAAAACCCAAATTTGTGAAGGTGGATTTAAAATATGGTGTCAGGGCTCCTAGTAGGGAAGTCATTGGTGGGATTTGTTCCAAACACAATAAACTGAGTTTTCTTGACATTAAAATGTAAAAAGTTCAGGGCCAGCTAGGCGTTAACGTTGTCTAAACAGTTTAATAAAGACTCTACTGAAAAAAGGTCGCCCTGCTTTAGAGGCAAACGGATTTGGCATTCATCAGCATAAAAATGGAAATCTATCCCATGTCTGCCCAGAATGGAACTGAGTGGCAGAGATGCAAAGAAAGGAGCAGGGCCCCTAAAATTGAGCCTTGTGGGACCCGTAGGACAGATAAGTACTGGACGATTAGGTGTCGCCAATTTTGACGCAGAAAGATTGGTCCGTCAGGTATGAGCTGAACCAATTAAGAACAGTGTGTTGGATCCCTACTAATTGATTCAGATGTGTTATCAGAACATGATGGTCGACCTTGTAGAAAGCAGCTGTTACATCAAGCAGAACTAAAATAATGTAGCTACCAGAGTCACAAGCCCGGAGGATGTCATTAAAAACTCGCAGTAATGCTGATTCTGTACGACGAACCTTTAACCCAGACTGAAGTGTTTCAAGGAGATAACTAAAAAACAGGATTAATAGACTGAGAACTGTGGTAGATGGGGATTTGGACAATTTTCATATATTTATTTAAAAACAATAAAAAATCATGATAATTGAGCAGTGTTGGCCTAGTGGTTAGAGCAGTGCGCTTCTGCTCTGAGAAGGTTGCAAGTAGCCGGTTCAATCCCCACAGCCTGCACTGGTTCCTGAGCAAGACCCTTAACCCCACACTGCTCCCCTGGCGCTGCACAATGGCAGTCCACTGCTCCCAAATGGATGGGTTAAATGCAGAAGTGAATTTATCCAATGTGCAATTAATAATGTTCAGTTATTATTATTGATAATATAAATTCCTGTATAAGTAACCTTGATTTTAGTAAAAGAAATCGGAAACTCCAAAAACTGATTGCGGGTTTTCCTTTTTTAAACATTTATCACTGTTGGTTTCATCAGGAAATGAATAATTGCTGTGTTTGCTTTTCTAAATTTGTCTTAGGGTAGATTTTTTTTATGAAGCTCTGACACTGCAGGGAAAGATTTATAGCTATAAAGAAGAACTGCCTTTTTAGCAGCTTAGTCACTTTAATCTTCATTGCAATAAAAGCAGACATATATCATAATAAAACTTTATAAGAGCATCTTTTTTATTAGTTTAATACACAATGAAAAAATGAACTAATCATTATAATTATTTTTTGACAGACTTTATTATTCCTGTATTATTGTTTCTTTTTTTTCAGATTAACATTTTGCTCAAAGTTTACTTGTTTTTATTCAATTTAAGAAAACAGTTGAATTCTGTCCAGAAGAAGATACTTGGATGCTTTGTATCATATAAACGCAGCATTGACCTCTACTGGGTCATCTGCAGATGGATCTTTGGGTATTAATGTTTTTTTTTTGTTGCAAAAAAGTCCCTTCGTGAGTATCTTCACAAGTATCTTCGTGAATTATTTGAAAGAATTGCCCTCTCTACTTAAAGAAAATGCACATGCATAACCTTGCACCAGCTCCCGCGAGAGACCGCCTATTAAAAGTGTGCGACAGCGTGCACAAGCCCATTTCTCACAGAGTTTAAAAATTGCTATTTGCATCACTCATACAAGCTTACTTTGCTATTTTTCAACTATGTCAGACCACTTGTAAGTAGAAATGGGGACAAGCACGTAGGACAGCCTTATATAAACATATCACCAGAATGATTGACAAGTAGGAGGATCACTTATTTAGATGATCAACCCGCAAAACGAACATCCTCCACAATAGCTTTAATAAATAATTTTTCTTTGTTAGTTACGGATCGACCTTTATGATCCTGGGTTTGTCTTGAAGGCAGTTATTTTTTTTGTGAGGCTCTGACACTGCAGAAAAAAGCATTTTTACCAGCTTTGTCACTTTAATATTTATTGTATTTAATGCAAGAAGTATATCATTATCGAACATAATTAGACCATTTTTATTAAGTAAAACACACCTATTAAGAATAAACTAATTCGTATAACAATTTTTTATGAACAAAAAACAGACTTGGTTATGTATTATTAGTTATTCCCTCTTTTAAAGTAACATTTTGCTCAAAGTTCACTTGTTTTTGTTCAGTTTAAACAATAAAAGTTGTATTCTGTCCAGAAGGAGATACCTAAATGCTTTCCATCATATAGATGCAGCATTAACCTGTACTGGGTCATCTACATGCGTATCTTCTGGGTATAAAATGACATTTTTTTGTGTTAAAAAAAAAAAAAAAAAAAAAAAAAAAAAAAAAAAAACGTCCATCTTTTAGAATTTATTTTTCAAATAACTTTTAACTAAAGAAACTTTTTAAAATAAAAGTAGACTGATACGTCAGCCGGAAGATATTTGGTCATTTTCATCTTTTAAAGGAAGAAAAAACAATATAATCTTTGAAGTTCAGCCCCTCTTAAAAAATGCTAAAACCTATTTCGAACGGATAAACTATTTCATTTAATAACCTGATTTAAATTTACTGCATTAAATCTTATTTTTGATAACTGAATCTGCTGAGGGCTTATAAAGTTAATAGCTGCTTTTTAGGGTTAGCACATTGTCTTTAAGCTGAGTTTCATTTATTTACCATGCAGTGCATATGTTTATTATTCTCCTATATGTTTTTATTATTTATATATACAATAAGGAAAAACAATGGAGGGTGAAACAGAACAACTAAACATTTCATAAAGCTAAAAAAGGCTAAATGTGACAAAAAAACAAAACACAAAGAATTACCAGTTCATAGAGGCGATGTTTGTTTCAATAAAGCAAGGCGGCACAGGTGAAAGCGAGGATCTGGATATGGAGATAATTAGCAAAAAGAAAAAAAAAAAAACTGGTATAAGAACATGCAATACAACAAATTAATTTTTTTAATTGAATAGTTTTAAAATAACTATAGGGCTAAATTAAAAGTGCCATATTTTACGGCCCCTATAATTTAGATTCTCCCTATTTTCAGTGTTTGACTAAAACCTCTGTTTATTGAGCCCCTCAGATATTCAGCAACCAGTTAAATCACCAGAATGTAGAGTAGTTGATACATAGACGTTTTTCCTGCTGTTTGTTGTTCTTTATATCAAACATTTAGTTGTAAGTCATCAGCCGAGCAGGAAGTAATCAACACTACTTAACTCACGTGGTGACTGGGAGGCATCTGATCCCTCAGACTTAGACAGAAATCCCGCTTAATCCTGCAGCCAGGTCGGTTCAGTGGCTCTCCTTCATGCTGCCCGCTGCTGTCTGTGGTTTTCCAAGCGGCAACGCCGTTGCGGTTATGGGTTAGTGGACGACGTTTTCAGCTCCCGGACTCATGAAGGCCAGCTGGCTGCAGAGGACGGTTACATGGATTGTGCGTTTGATGTCTTTGAGGCGCAAATGTCAAAGTTAAGTATGCAGCCCTGAGGTGGAGGATGAAGTCGTGCTGTTTGGGCTTGGAAAATGCACGGCTTTGTTTTGTCTTTCTGATTGAAAGCCTGGAAAGCCTCTTTAAAAAAAAAAAAAAAAAGCTCTCTTAGTGGATCTCTCAGCTTTGAGGATGGTCTCTGAAGCGCTTGAACAGCAATCTCTGGTTTAGAAATATAAATATGACTGTTATGATTGTTTTTGCTGATATTTTAAAGTGTTGGAGGTTAATCAGACTCCTTTTTTAATTCTTTATCCAAATAAGTTTCCCTTTCAGGGAGTTTTAACCTATAGTGTCTCCTGATTCCTCGACTACTTCCTTGTTGTTACCATAGCAATATCTCTGTTGGGGAAAATTCCTCCTCGCTTTGCCTAAACCTGTCCTGTTGTATTTTCTTTTTTTATTATTATTATTATTTTCAGAAATGTGTTCCTTTCTTTAAAATATGTGCAAGCATTAGAAAAAAAAAAGTCTTTAATCGGCAGCAAAATTAACAAAACATATCATGGAGGAATTATGCAGCATCATGGTGACTGTTGCTGACGCACTCTCTGTGCCGTGGGACTCTGATTATTTCCTAGCTTATCTGTGCCCTCAGATGCGTCATAAGGGAGATAATACCAGGTGAGACTGTCAGTTGATGACGCGCTTGTGTTCGTTTTTCCTCACAGGAAAGTGACCCTGGTGATGGTGGGCCTGGATAATGCGGGAAAGACGGCGGCGGTGCGAGGAATACAGGGAGGTTGGTGTCCCAATTGAGAATGTCTTTCGCTTATTGGGTGTGTCCTCAATCTAAAGCTTGTGTTTTTATCCTTCTTCAGAGAATCCGCAGGACTTGGCTCCCACTGTAGGCTTCTCCAAGGTGGACCTGAAGCAGGGAAAGTTTGAGGTGACCATCTTTGACCTTGGAGGTGGGAAGAGGATCCGGGACATCTGGAAGAACTACTACTCGGAGTCCCACGGCGTGGTGTTTGTGGTGGACTCCAGCGACGTGCAGCGGATCCAGGAGACGCGGGAGACCATGGCGCAGGTCCTTCAGCACCCGCGCATCGCTGGGAAACCCGTGCTGGTGTAAGCAATCCCTCATAAGCCCTCTATATGATGTTTGTGCTGCTTTTTATTTTTTACCATCTGGTAAAATGATTTGGAGATTCTAATTCTAGTCAGTCAAACACAATGGCTTAATCGGATTGCATGCTTTATGCTTTATTTTGAAATAGTTTCGCATTTTTTTGTTGTTTTTCTTTTTGCTCTCAGACTTGCCAACAAACAAGACCTGGAAGGAGCGCTGGCTGAAGCAGACATCATTGAGAACCTGTCGCTAGAAAAGCTTGTTAACGAAAACAAGTGTCTCTGTCAGATTGTGAGTCTTTTCACACCTAATATAAAAAACAGTTCTGCTTTCATTTATAGCCTCCTATTATTCTTTATATTTAAAGGTCGGCAACTTGGACGAAACGGCTTCTCAAGGCACGTGATAAGAAAAACAGAACTAACTCGTTTCCGGTTATCTAGTATCCAAAGACAGTTAATTTAATAAGTTATCTTATAAGTTAAGTTTATGCAACTCATTAAAACCTCTAAAATTATATAAAATCTAATTAATAATCTAACACAAACAATTGTGGCAATCCCCCATTCTGAGCAAGCATGTGGGGACAAATGAAAGGAACAGGGATGCACGTCCATTGTGGGATTTTACAAGGCAGGAAGCAGACGGAAAAAAAACGCTGATTCACTGAACCAGGGCGACTTTCTGTTGCGACAAAAAAGTACACACCTTCAGTGAAACTGAGATAAAAGCCCAGAGACTATATCTATATGAGTAAAACGGAGTATTAGGGCTATACTAAGAGATATATTTCTTATATTACAAAAATAGTCCTAATATTAGTTCTAGAACATTAAGGTAAAGAATTACAGGACTAATATTGTAGTATTATGAAAGCTGTGCAAGAATTAAATTATATTATTGTGAGTAACATTGCGCAATCAATTACCAGTCTAAAGTATTACCAAAGTAAAGTCATAACATTATGAAAATTAAATCATAACACTTCAAGAAAAAGCACAGAGTTAATAGCAGCAACAGAAAATGCAGTCGTTATGTCCTACTGCTGCACTTCGTAGTTGATTAGAATTACTTAAACCAGTGTAACAGCTAATTCAGAAGGAAAGGTTTTAAGGCGTATATTTGTTGTCTGTATTCCAGGAACCATGCTCTGCCATTTTAGGCTGTGGAAAAAAGGTGGACAAGTCCATCAAGAAAGGCCTGAGCTGGCTCCTCAGCAACATAGCCAAAGACTACGAGGCCATTGCTGAACGCGTGCAGAAGGACACGGCGGAGCAGCGCGCTCTGGAGGAGCAGGACAAGAAGGAGAGGGCCGAAAGAGTGAGACGGATACGAGAGGAGAGGTGGGAGAATGGCTTTGAAAACTTAAAAACAGGGGAAGAAAATAAGAAAGCAGAGGTTTATTATGTGGAACGGTCCATATTAACTCTTTTCACAGAGAACGGCTGGAGAGGGAGGAGGCAGAGCAAGAAGGAAGGCCTGTCCAGGAAGAGGAAGCTGATAACGAGAGCATACAGAGCCCCTTCCAGCCCATCGGAAACCTGATCTCCAAGGTTCAGGATCTCTGATTAAATCATAAAACTGCAGTGTGTCTCCTAAAGCAAAGGAGTGACACCTTTTTCTTCTTAGAAAGAAGAGCAAGAGCCTGAGAGGAAGGAGCAAATAGAGCTTCAGGAAGACAGGAGCAACGGTCCGAAGGAGAGCTTGGAGAACGAGGAAGAAGAGTTTGAGGAAGAAATTGCTGGAGAGCCCAATCACACGAGACCAACACCAGAAAACACACCTTTAGGTGAGTTTCTGTTACTTCATTGTTAATGATCAGTGATTGGGGTTTAAAACGAGTCTTTCCGAATGAGCCAAAAGGACTGAATATTTTATACATGTCTGCTTGTTGGATCCCAGCAGGTGAGCAGAGCAAGAAGAAGTCGAGCAAGCTGCACCTAAAGAGGAAACACAGGGTAGACCCGCTGAGGACGGACGAAGGGCCAGCAGAGAGCCCCACACCGCCGCCTCCACCTGGTGAGTCAGTGAGCCTCTGTCAAAGAGGCCTGCCACAGCAACAGGCTGCCAGTTAGATGTCTGATGGGAAATGGGGAATTTAGTGAAAGGGGGAGTTTTAGAACGGCTTGCCAGAAGGTGTTGGACCCAGTTGTCTTCAGGTCTAATAAACACTAATCTCATCTCTATGGAGTAAACAGAATTTGAGTTTTATTAGAGGTGATGGATTCATTAAAAAAAACAAAAAAAAAAACAGCCCTATCATATCAGCCATGGTTCCGGTACCTCAGACAGATTAAACAAGCAGATTGCATAGTTGTCCTCATAACAGAGAAGAGACCATGATGAGAATCAGCATCAAGTCTTTTGAAGAGGAGAGCTCCTCCATAACAAGACAGACAGCAGGACTTTCTTTCTATCTTTCTTTTCTCCTTGTGTCTATCCTACAAGTCTATCCCTTCTTCCTCCAAGTCTATCCTTCCTTCCTCTTGTCCTTCCTCCAAGTCTATCCTTCTTTCCACATGTCCTTCTCTCAGGTCTATCCTTCTTTCCTCGTGTCCTTCCCTCAGGTCTATCCTTCTTTCCTCGTGTCCTTCCCCCAAGTCAATCCTTCTTTCCTCGTGTCCTTCCCTCAGATCTATTCTTCTTTAATCGTGACCATCCCTCAGATCTATCCTCCTTTCCTCGTGTCCTTCCCTCAGGTCTATCCTTCTTTCCTCATGCCCTTCCTCCAGGTCTATCCTTCTTTCCTCGTGTCCTTCCCTCAGGTCTATCCTTCTTTCCTCGTGTCCTTCCCCCAAGTCAATCCTTCTTTCCTCGTGTCCTTCCCTCAGATCTATTCTTCTTTAATCGTGACCATCCCTCAGATCTATCCTCCTTTCCTCGTGTCCTTCCCTCAGGTCTATCCTTCTTTCCTCATGCCCTTCCTCCAGGTCTATCCTTCTTTCCTTGTGTCCTTCCCTCAGGTCTATCCTTCCTTCCGCTTGTCCTTCCTCCCAAGTCTATCCTTCCTTCCTCTTGTCGTTCTCTCAGGTCTACCCTTCTTTCCTCGTTTCCTTCCCCCAAGTCTACCCTTCTTTCCTTGTGTCCTTCCCTCAGGTCTACCCTTCTTTCCTTGTGTCCTTCCCTCAGATCTACCCTTCTTTCCTTGTGTCCTTCCCTCAGATCTATCCTTCTTTCCTTGTGTCCTTCCCTCAGGTCTACCCTTCTTTCCTTGTGTCCTTCCCTCAGGTCTACCCTTCTTTCTTTGTGTCCATCCCTCAAGTCTATCCTTCTTTCCTTGTGTCCTTCCCTCAGATCTACCCTTCTTTCCTTGTGTCCTTCCCTCAGTTCTACCCTTCTTTCCTCGTTTCCTTCCCCCAAGTCTATCCTTCTTTCCTCGTGTCCTTCTCTCAGGTCTACCCTTCTTTCTTTCTGTCCTTTTCTCAGGTCTATCTTTCCTTGCTAGCCATTTTCCAGTTGTAACTAGTCTAACCAGTAGAGGTTTCTCTCCCAGTGCAGATCTCTCCATAGTTAAGCTGAAGGATAATAGCTCCCTCTGCTGTCCTTTTTTCCTCTAATCAGTTTTTTTTTCCTAATCCTCTCCCTCCAGTGGGATGGGCCACTCCCAAAGTCTCCAGGCTGCCCAAACTAGAGCCTCTGGGAGACTCTGGACATTCTGGTAAAGCGTCTGCCGATCGTCCGCTCCTCTCACTTCCTGTCACTAACTTCTGGGTTTGACCCATTTAATGTCAGCGCTTCCCTCATTTAAACCAGCTTGTAGTTTTTGTGTTTTCAGAAGGAAACAATGATGCGTCTGGCTTATAATGTATCCTGACTATTAATCAGTCTCTCAGACACTCATCTGCTTCTTCCCCCTCCTGCATGTCTCCATGCATGAGCTTGAATGTTTCTCCATGGCTGCAGATGTCTGAATCATTCTCACCTTCTCTTCACATCGCTCGCCTCCATCGTCTTGTGTCTTAGAACATTAACCAGCTTCTTTTCTGCTGAGAACTCAATAGAAACCATTTAGTAATGGAACCAAATCCTTTTCTCCTCCTCTCTGCAGATTTTTACAAGAAGCCCCTCCCACCGCTGGTGAACAGGTCACGGCCTAACGGCGACTCCCAGGACGTCATCTCATAAAGCTCCTATAATGACTGACTGAGGTCAGCCGGCCTCCAATCACAGCTCTCTTCTGTGCTTTTTGTCTGAAGCGAATGGCGTGGAGACAACCAAACCAAATGGAACGACCGGTGCGGGTACCGCTGAGGGAAGGGTGTTGGCTCAGAGCGCTGGGGAGTGACGTCCCTACACTGATGCTGATCTTTCATTAAAAAAAAAAACTAAGCTTGAGGCTAAACCTGCTTGAACTGTCTAATTCCATCTGGATTTTATTTTATTTTTTGTACTATTGGTCAGTATTGAAAGTTGGGGAAACAGCATTTTCTACTTAAAACACTTTAAACCGAAAAAGAATGTAAATAAAACCTTCTCTAACATTAGCACGAAGGTTATCCATATTTGAATGAACTTTTTTTTTAAAAGTAAAATTTGTGTTTTAAAACAAAACTATCGACCGAAAACAGATTCCTCTATGTTTTCTGCCAAGTTTTTTTTATGTAGGAACCACAAAAAATATTTGGTTTCTCATCGCCATATAAAAAATAGTCTGTTTTTGCACTCTGAGATCAATAGAGGGAAATTGATCGTGATCAGAGGTGGAACTATACACTAACCGATGGGTACGTATTTGTTTCATGTGTTGATAAATATCAGTGGTGTGCTGGGACCATTTTCCACCCCGGGAGATTCAAATCCAACCTGAAATAACTCATCTACAATATCAATTATGTCTCTACACTGATATTACAACCCTAATATATATGTTGCATATATGGCTCAGAAGCACTTGTTCCCTACCTAACTTCTATTTCAACTGTGATGCAGCTGCTCAGGTGCTATCAAAATCAGGCAATAATTGAAGAATTACATGATTAGCAGGCATCTATATAATGAATCACATGAACAATTATGGATGCATTTATATTTAAATTTATATATTTGCCTTTAAATAATTGCACAGTTGAAATGTTTAAACTCTCTTTATTTTAAAAGTAAATATAAATGTAGGTATATTACAGATTTGTGACGACATTTATAATGGTGAATGATAACATACACCGTTGGGAACCAGTTGTAGGGCCCATGCTGAATGTGTAAAAACTGGCACTGAGGGAAAGACATGCTATCCTGGGTGTATACGCAATACAAAGGGTTTGTTGCATATTTGCAACAATAGGCATCGGGGGGTTAACTAGCACACACAACTTCAACCCTTCCCAACATGTGTTTTATCTGTGGTGGCACTAGGAGCTGTGATTTCATTTAGATTGATACAGCTCAGGTGCTACAAAGATCAGGTTATTTGGTTAAATATTTTCATTTTTATTCATTAAACAATTTCCGATTCCCAAAACATGCACTAGTTTTCCCGATTCTGCAAATAAATGTGTAGTGCTAACTTTGTAATGGAAATAATTCTCTTGATCTATTTATTTTTATCCATTATCTATTCAATATCAATTTGTCAATTCAGAGCAGAATCTGATATTAGCGCCAGACAAGCTCTACTATCAGTGCTAGTCGTTAACCGCTTGAGCTTTGCAGCATCATTTAAGGAATTGTACCCAAATTCTGCACAGTTTTAAACCCTGAGTAAGGAGAACAGTTTAGTTTGTACTGTAAGCTCCGCCCCCTGACTTTTTTCCCACAAAAATGTGACATGGACGTTGTAGAAAACGGCCTTTGTTGGGAAACGCAGTTTAGTATCTAACTGGAAACTGTGAAGATTCTCAGTCATCCAGGTCATAGTCATTCCAAAAAACAAAACAAAAAAAAAACATTCCACTAGAAATAGACGTTTTGCCTACAATCCTCAAAGCTTTTTCAACAAAATGTCAGAAATAGCGTTGAGCTCGAGGCTTTATAGAGTGGACCAAAAACTGGTCCATGGTGAAGGTGAAAATTGGACTCAACCAATTCACATGTGCAGAGGTGTGTTCAGATGTTTATCCATTGAGAAAAATGGGTATTTTAAGTGATTTAAAGTCAAAAAGCAAAACAACTTAAGCTAAATATGCCCAACTCCACTACTTCCTGAACTTCAGCAGCTCCTTTGTTTCATTACAGGACAAACTGCTCAATCCAGGTGTGTCTGGCTGTTGTCGTCATGGTTACTGTGGTCACGCAAACCTGGATTGATCAGTTTTTCCAGTGATGAATCACAAGAAACAAAGAATGTGAAAATATAGGCCATTAATGTTAAGATAAACCACTCCATACACCTCACTGATGAACCAGCCCAATCGTAATGATTACCCAGCATGCCACTGAATTAAACATTTGCAGTCATTGGGGGTGGTGAAAAAAACAATATCGGCTTTAAAACACCGCCGGAAAAAAATCTGCATCGGTCGATGTCTTATCATGACGTCCCTGAATAAGATGATACAAGTCTTTGATTTCCTTTTCTGTAAACATTTTCTGGTTTTACTCCAACTGTCACTGTGGAACATACATGTAAAATAAAAACACTAACATTCTCAGCTTATATCAAACAAAAAAAAAGCTTATTCTAAAAATCTTTTTCTACTTTTATTCTTTAGGAAATGCATTGTCAGATTTGTTTCATGCTGTTTACATCACGTTTGTGTTTTTTAAAGTGATATAAGGGCTTCTTTTCTCAACGAGGAATTGACTGAAACATAAAATTGGGTTTCTCTGAAGGGGACAAAGTCTGTGAAGTATCTCTTTAAAAAACATAATATTTTGGATCTGTAGTGCAGCAAGATCCAAATGTTTAAAAAAATACATACTTTTTCTATCCTGTTGATATTTTATAAGAGCACTATTAAAGCTGTTTAAATATTAAATGGACTGATGAGGATCTTTTGTTCATCCATCTGCTGATTATATCATTTTTATTTCTATTAGTTTTGGTGTCGATAAACCTGCAGCTAAAACCACAAAATCAGGCTCTATAATCAGAAAAAAGATTAGTTTTTTAACTCCATTGTTGCTACAAGCATGCTTAGTGTGCTTGCTGATTTTCCTTAGATAAAAAAAACTTTAAATTGAATGGAATTGAAATGAACAAACTAGAGCTCGTGTTACTCTAGATTCACACTCCCTCCATTTCCAAATGAAATTTTGTATTGATTTGCATGTTGAAAGAATAAAGCAACCTGATTATGGCTATGACAAATGGCTTAATAAATTATAAAGATCTGATTTAATAGCTTTCCTTTAAAATCCTTTCATTTGCCCTTTTCTACCAAACTTTATTCTTCCACTCAACTTTCCTTTGCTTTGACACTTTGCACTTTAAGCCTTTGTACGGAGCCCCTCTGATGGCATGGTCAGAAAATTTTTTTAATTGTGGCCACGAAGTAGTATTTCGTGCGCACGAAATACTACTTCGGGGCCATGCAATAAGTATAACGTGCGCACGAAATACTACTTCGTGGCCACAAAATAAGTATAACGTGCGCACGAAATACTACTTCGTGGCCATGCAATAAGTATAACGTGCGCACAAAATACTTCTTCGTGGCCACACAATAAGTATAACGTGCGCACAAAATACTACTTGGTGGCCACGCAATAAGTATAACGTGCGCACAAAATACTTCTTCGTGGCCACACAATAAGTATAACGTGCGCACAAAATACTACTTGGTGGCCACGCAATAAGTATAACGTGTGCATGAAATACTACTTCGTGGCCACGCAATAAGTATAACATGCGCACGAAATACTACTTCGTGGCCACACAATAAGTATAGCGTGCGCACGAAATACTACTTCGTGGCCATGCAATAAGTATAACGTGCGCACAAAATACTTCTTCGTGGCCACGCAATAAGTATAACGTGCGCACGAAATACTACTTCGTGGCCACGCAATAAGTATAACGTGCGCACAAAATACTACTTGGTGGCCACGCAATAAGTATAACGTGCGCACGAAATACTACTTCGTGGCCACGCAATAAGTATAACGTGCGCACGAAATACTACTTCGTGGCCACGCAATAAGTATAACGTGCGCACGAAACACTACTTCTAATATCTCTAAGGTCTAAGGCGCGCTCGATTTGCTTACCCAGTTGTCCAGGAATGATATTAATATTATTAAGTATTTCGTGCGCACGTTATACTTAATGCGTGGCCACGAAGTAGTATTTTGTGCGCACGAAATACTACTTCGTGGCCACAATTAAAAATTATTTTTGACCATGTCATCAGAGGGGCTCCGTACCTTTGTCTTCTTTAACAGGAACTTTTTATGACGCGCTTTTCTTTGTTAGGTCAGTTTTTTTTAAACTATATTTCTTTCATAGATATAAGTTATCTTCAACTTTCTTTTTTTCATTTTTAACAAGTTAAAAGAGCTTTAATGACCAGAATAATGTATAATTTATACACGTCACTCTTTATATTATATAAATAAACTTTTCTCTTATAGTGTGGTTGTTTGTGCCAAACCACCTACTGTAGAAATCTGCTTAAGTTCTGGATTAGTGAGACATTTTATATTGAAAGTCTATTTGAGATATAAAGAGGGTAAACAAATAAATGGACAGAAATTATATGTTTTATATCTTTTTTTATTCTAAATGCTGCATATTGGTGTTTTCATATCAGTCTTTTCACAGGCAGTGCAAATATAGTGTTAGTGCAATACAATGTGGAAGAGCACTGGTTAAAACCAATCATCCAAAAGTTCTTAAAAAGGGGGAAATAAATCTGAGTGAAGTTTAATCTTATTGTTTAATAGAAACAATAAAAAAAAAAAAATCAGTACATGGACATCTCTGCTGTCTTTTACAGGACACATTTCCTGGGTTTTAAAGCAGCTTTTAATGGTTTGGCTCCATCTTGGCGAGACGATTATCTACAATATTTGACTGTATAAAGATAAATGATGCTGAAAGTACAGGATTCTTTTAAGATATTGTGAGGAAGCAGGAATAAAAATATGCAGAAGAGCAGCTTTCCTTGGATAATTAAGCCTTTTTGGAAAGAAAGCTGACAGCCTGAGTAGGGTCAAGTCTTTGCTGTCAAAAAGCTCTGAAAAATTATTCTTAGCTCAATAAAAATCTTAGTATAACACGTTTTACAAGAAACGAAAGCAATTCTTAAAAACTGAGAGCAACATTTCATACGTCTGATGCATACAAACGATCCTTAAAGTATTTTTGAGTATATGCACCAAAATCACACAAGAGTTGGAACATTTAGGCATTCAGCATAAAATTTGTTGCTTTCAGACTAGTTTGAACACTAAGAAAAAAATCATATGCTGCATAAACA